TTCATCAGCTATACTAAAAAACATAATGAGGACAAAAAAATTTTTAATATTAGAGAAAATGTAAATCTATATTTGAAATAACACACATTACTGGGGAAGATAGGTGGGATGAAAAACATACGACTACAAATATACAGTGTAAGTTTCAAAATGGTAAATTTCTATGAGTTAAGGTCCCTAAAGTCTCAGAGGAAAAACTGATAATTCAGGTTATTTAAAAAAAAAAAAAAAGGACAGCCACATAGCACAGGGAGATCAGCTCGGTGCTTTGTGACCGCCTGGAGGGGGGGGATAGGGGGGGGGGGGGGGAGGGAGACGCAAGCGGGAAGAGATATGGGAATATATGTATATATATAACTGATTCATTTTGTTGTGAAGCTGAAACTAACATACCATTGTAAAGCAATTATACTCCAATAAAGATGTTAAAAAAAAATAAAATAAAATATAAAAAAAAAAAAAAAAAAAAAAAAGGACAATGCCCCAGTACTTGCAGGAAAAAAAGCAGCAAGGTGCCCAACAGACTAATCATACAAAATATTTAAGAGTGAATATCTAGTGTTTACTGAAAAATTTGCTTGATGGCAAGTTACTAAACCATCCTGAAATATTAGGACAAATAAACATGATTAGTAAAACCTCATTACCCACCAAGAAGATCCTGTACAAGTGTGCTTTATCCATTACATCATTTTGAATTCCGCCATACATGTAATTTTAAAGAAAAAGAAAAAGAAAAAATAAATGCTGACATTAAAAAGTGATTAAAAATAAAGTTTTGCTGCCTTCAAGAACACTAGAAACTGCACAAGAGTGAAAAAGAAGTGGGCTATCACAACACGTGTCAGTAAAGCAATCCACAGCAGCTGATTTACATAAATCCTAGAAAATGGTGGGGGGAGGGAGGGGGGAAGATGTCTACTTTACTGATTAAAAATGGTCTACGAGCCGCAACTAGATATTAGGAAAACGAAAATCAGAACTATTTGAGAAAAAGAACTTCAAGGGAAGGAGTGCACTGAAGGGGTTAAATTACACTAAGTTACATATCAAAGCTTATATTGCTTATGCCCTATAAAATCACGTAACATGAAAACCAACATCTAACACTGAAAACATTTAGAAAGCCCGTGCTTGAGCATAAATTAAAAAAAAAAAAAAGGAAATAAGCTGGAAAAATATAAAATTATAACCATTTCATAATCATCCCATTTTTGTATTATTCACTCATCACTACACTTACACTGAATATATATAATTTAGCACATGGAAGCAAATCTCTAAGCTTCTCCCTACCTTAGGTTTTTAGTAAAAATGAATGCAAACAATCACGTGGGATTCAGCCAAGCAGTGACGTTAAATTCTGCTCTGTCAGAGAGAGCATCTGTCAAGCCCACATTTAAACTGCTGCCTGCCTGTGCAGCAGCTGAGGAACCCTGGATTTCATATTACAGACTAAAACCCTGGTAAAACTGCTCAAAATCCTTCCTGCAGCTGCCAGGCAACAACGAAAGAGAGTTAAATCCTGTTCTTTTCCAATACAATCGAAGCACTCCATTCTAGCTCTGGCTGCTTTTGATTGCAGCTCAGTGTTCTTACTAGAAATATGGATACTGAAAAGAGAATACAGCACTGCATTGTCCGGCCAGGAAAACAGCAGATGTAAAAAGCTTCAATGCATCAACTGTCAGCAAGAGTCGACAGTGCTCCAAACAGAACGAACAACCACAGCTCTTTTGTTTAAAGAAAGAGAAAGAAAATGAAAGAAAGGAAAAACCGCAGAAGACTAGGACCCATATGAACAAGAAGGGGAACTCGAAGACAAGCAGACAGATGGACACTCTGGACACTGTGAAAAGCAATCGCAGGAGGCAGACTGCTGGGGGAGGTGCGCATGTTCGATAGCATCTTGGCTGAAGTGATGGCGTGCCAAAAGTATCTTCAGTGGGCATAATCCTCGCCTCATAAATGCCTGACCAAGGAAGGTATGTTGATATCTTGTTTGTGATACTCATTTAAATGTCTGTTACTTTTTTATAGCCCTGGAGGCACTAATATCTAATAAACAAGTTCATACAGTTCACTGTCCTTGAAACTATGAAAGGGTTTCTAAATATGATTTTAAAATCTGTCATTGCTTTATTCAAGTAAATATGTAGCTTGCAGTAATTATGTATTACCGAAAAGGCAAACAGTAACAAGATGTGCTTAAAGGCTTCTCTGAGAAATTAAAAATCTGAAGCCCTCTAAAGAAAACATAGCAATCCTCTATCAAATTAAGTCAAGTTGAATCCTTATCCAATAAATTAAAGTGCTCTCTTAAAAATGGCCATCGAAGAGGTCAATGCAGTGAAATTCATTAAATAGTATCAAAGATGATCTTAATATTAAGAGCTTTTTCAGTCCTTTTAAAACAAAATCTTAATATAGAACAGTTTTTAATAACAAAATGTTGCCTCCCATACCCATCTCCCTAAATAAAGATAACTTACCAACTCTGAAACTATCAACAAATTTTAAGTACCACCGAGCTGTAAGATACTATAAGGAAAGCATTTGCACAGGATCACAGAAGGCAGTGTGCATTTATGCACAGCACACCACCTCAGGAGATTTGCATGCTCACGAATACAACTTTAAACAAAGAAATATCAATACTTGCTAAAATTACCCCCTTTTAAAATAGTGAGCTTTTATTTTAAGCAACAGACTGATTCTAAATGATCAAAATATAAGACTGGTTTTGGTGATCATTTTTAAAGTGAAACTCAAAAACATAATATGAAAATACTCTGTCATAAAAATATCCATGTAACAGCAATACAAGGTCAAAAAATTAAATTTAAATGTAGCCACTGTGCTTCCAGGTTATATAAATATGTAATGATGAACTAACTGGCATAGTATGTGTGTGCAGGGCAGAAATAAATCTAATAAACTATTTTAGTAACAATCATAGAATAGCAACTCATGGCTCAGGAACTCGGGTATTTCTAAAATTTTTTACAGATCGTCAAAGATCCTGATTTTTGCTCAATTTTACAGCACAACTCAACCTATTATTTAATAATCACAAAAGGCAAACATTTTTAAGACATATGTAGGGATTCCATTCTAAAGTTAAGATTAAACAAGTCTATCAGGCCCTATTATTATTAGAGCTCAACATCAACTCTCACTCACAGTATGAATTTTTATTCCATTAAGGAATGAAACCAGATGGTATTAAACAAACAAAAAAAATATGGTTGTAAAAAACCTCAAGTCTCTCTTAGTACCTTTATCTCTCAATGTTAAAGTCACCAATTAAACATTTTTATAAGCTAGCTATCTCAAAACAAGAGTGTAGAGTTTTTTATTCAAGCACCCCTTAAATCTAGAACTGTTCCCACAGACTAAGATATTATCACTTTTAGAAGCCAAATAATAAAAACAGCATGTGTGTGTGTGTGTGAGTGTGTGTGTGTGTGAGTGTGTGTGTGTGTGAGTGTGTGTGTGTGTGTGTGACAGAGAGAGGGAAAGAGAGAGGGAGAAGTAACGGAACATTTTATAGTAACATCCTCTCCGTGAGCGTCAATCCATAAGATGTAAATACATATTAATCACTTGATAATATTACCATAAAAACCCATAAAAGACAAATCAAAGCTATTTCTACGCTGAAAATGTAAAAGTGCAAAACTATTTAGAATGTCAAAATATTTTAACTTTCTGGTCTTGTTCCCACTTCTTAAGAATTAATGTACAACAGGCAGTAACTGGAGAATAATTTTATCTTTTAATAAAAGGAGGAATAGTTACTTTAATTGTACTTTCTTTTTAACAGTAAAATTATGGTAAATATCTGAAAAATGTTTAATAAAGAATTTTTTTTAAGGCTAGACACATGCACTACATTTACCAACGGGAGATTAAGAAATGAGTATATATGGATTTCAAGCCTGAGCAGCTGGATATTTACAAACATACAAATATCATGAATTTACATTAAGATGCATCTCTATCAACTATCGCTACAAAATCACATAGGACCATAAACTACATGTATGCCAGGTTACAATATATAATAATTTGCTGTTTTCTGTAACATTGAAATACTTTAGAAACATCACTTCAGGTATAATGTTTTCATAAAAATACAATTTACTAATATATTTACCTTCATTCATTTTTTCAGTCCTTTATTCAAACATGCATTCAAACATCTGACCTTCTATTTATTGCTTCTTAAACCATCAAGTTTACACTTTTAAAGGATCTAAATGATTAGACTTCAACCAGTTTCCAAGCATTCTATATCAAGAGAAAGCTGACACATTTAATTTAGCTTTGGAATGTTTAAAATAGATTATCAAATAAATTTTAAAAGCAACTTTTGTTTCTTTTAAATTTACACACATAACCCTTATATCTACTGGCTTCTTTACGGGGTGGAGGGAAATTATTACTATTTATCTAATATTTCATTTGAAAATAAAAGCTTAGAAAGAGTCTCCTCATCTAAACAGAATGGCCAACTATTTACAAGTGTAAGGAGGAGAAAAGTGAGTTTCTAAACCAGAACACTCAGCTCTGTTATTTTCAACTGAGCTCACCACAGAACTATGTTTTACTGGTATGGTGAAGTGTCTTAGTCTTCATCAGAGCAATGTGAAATTAAAATCCAGGTAAATAAATTCTAATAAATAAGTAGATTCTATTTTTTTTAAATCTGAAAACTTAAGGAAGAAAAACACTGCTCCTATCTCACAAAATGATTAATGTAATTTCTTACATTTGAGAAACACCATAACTTCTAAAAGCACTACATAATCTCAGATACTAGAAATCATCAAAAGCTAGCGCCTGTATTGTTACGCTTCAGAGATGCTCGAATCCCCACCTGCTTGCTCCTCCTAGTGGCTTCTGCTAGAACAGGAGTCTAACACTTCCCATCAATATTTTCAAAATACTTTACATTATATGAGTGCTATTCTAGTTATTCAATTATATGAGGACTTCCATGTAAATGCCATTATTTTCCCCAAATAATTGAATTTTTTACCGAGGTTAAGCAAATTTGGTATTAACCATAAACCTTTCAATATCACAGGCTACAAAAACACATTCATATGTGTATATATAATTTCAAATAAACAAACGCTCCTACAATAAATGTTTTTAATTGACCAGTTTTCTTTTACATAAAGAAACAATTTTCACAATAAAAAATTGATAAAATTACACAAAAAGGTTTGTTTTCTCTTTTAACAGAATTCAAGCTACAGCTCCTTACCCATCCTTTACCCCCACGCCTTGATCCAGAAAAATAACAAACTGAATAAACATGAACCAATTTGTGCTATGCACTAAAAAAACTTGTTCAAAGACCAGTTCTTAATATGTGGCATCGTGAACTTCCCATATTGATATCTCATAATTTTTTTTTTCTAAATGTAGGGCTCTAAGTGTCATGCTAGCAGAAGTCCTAAAAATGTAAAAAATTCTCTACATGCAAATTTAGAACACAGCATAACTCAAAAATCTTTTAAGATGCATTTTGTGAAATTTAAAATTTTGAATAGTTGGGGATACAATAATACCTAGTGTCTGTATTTTGTAAGAAATCTGAAAAGACTGTTCAAAGCAGTTCTTTGTTTTATTCTAACATGGAGATTCAACTGAGATACGTGATAGTACTCTGTGAAGTCCACAGATAATTAAAGATAATTAGTTGCTATATTATAAAAATCAATCATAAGTCTAAGTAAGGACAATGATCTCCTGAATACCTCATGTCTGAAGTGGAAGGTTAACATGAGAAAAGAGTACTTGCAAATATCCATCATTTATTACTGTCTTAAAATCCTGCACTGAAGTTACTGAACCCTGAACATTAATTCTGACAGGTGCGTCTTCTCACTGACTTTCTCGACACAGTAGGGGCCAACGGAAACATGCCAAGCAGTGTACTGTGACTAACAAAACTCTGCCATAATCAACCTTGCACCGTCTGTCCCACAACTGATACATGACCATTTTACAAAAAAGGCCGCTGACTGTGCACCATACCACCAACGGTATGTCAAATCAATTTTAATTAATGCCAATAAATTTTCCATCTGCTCTCAGGCCTCCTTACATGGCCTCTCTCAGGGATCTAGCAGCATTTTCCTCTTCTCCATGCATACAACTTTTAATCTTTAACTTAAGTCAACAATTCCAAGTGACCAGAGCTACTGAGATAGATGATGAAATAAGTGGAAGAAAATCAATCCATTCACCTCTCTTTAAAGTGGTCACTGTGCTCCAAAGGTGTATTTTTAAAGAAATTAATCCTGTTCTCACGATGTTACGTTGCCAAGGGAAGACAAATCATAAACGTTGTTCCTGGGTTATCCTATTTTCACAGCTTAAAAATTTCCATGTGCCCTAATTTTATTAGTCTCTTTCAAGCAGTTCTGTGATATTTCCATTCTGTAAACGTTTATGCTTCATCTTTATAGAATGACTGCGAGGGAGACGACGTGACAGCATTAGAAAATGATTACCAAAGAACAGTACTGATTCAGGAGAAGAACACAATCTCAGCCACCGATCTCTCATCCACTACTGGATATTAACAACATGCTTCAGTGGAGAAGAAGACACTGCTGCTTTGCAAAGATGAGCTGGAATGCCAAGAGGTCTCTGTTCCGTACCCATCTTATTGGTGTACTTTCTCTCGTGTTTCTTTTTGCTATGTTTTTGTTTTTCAATCATCATGACTGGCTGCCAGGCAGAACTGGATTCAAAGAAAACCCTGTGACATACACTTTCCGTGGATTTCGTTCTACAAAAAGTGAGACAAACCACAGCTCTCTTCGGAACATTTGGAAAGAAACAGTCCCGCAGACTCTGAGGCCTCAAACAGCAACTAACTCCAATAACACAGATCTATCACCACAAGGAGTTACAGGGCTGGAGAATACACTCAGTGCCAACGGAAGTATTTACAATGAAAAAGGCACTGGACATCCAAATTCTTACCATTTCAAATACCTTATCAATGAACCTGCAAAATGCCAGGAGAAAAGCCCTTTTTTAATACTACTAATAGCTGCAGAACCTGGACAGATAGAAGCTAGAAGAGCTATTCGGCAAACTTGGGGCAATGAAAGTCTAGCACCTGGTATCCAAATCACACGAATTTTTTTGTTGGGTGTAAGTATTAAGTTAAATGGCTACCTTCAACGTGCAATCCTGGAAGAAAGCAGACAATACCATGACATAATTCAACAGGAATATTTAGATACATACTATAATCTGACCATTAAAACACTAATGGGCATGAACTGGGTTGCCACATACTGTCCACATATTCCATATGTTATGAAAACTGACAGTGACATGTTTGTCAACACCGAATATTTAATACTTAAGTTACTCAAGCCAGACCTGCCTCCTAGACATAACTATTTTACTGGTTACCTAATGAGGGGATACGCACCCAACAGAAACAAAGACAGCAAGTGGTACATGCCACCAGACCTCTACCCAAGTGAGCGCTATCCTGTCTTCTGTTCTGGGACTGGTTATGTTTTTTCTGGAGATCTGGCAGAGAAGATATTTAAAGTTTCTTTAAGCATCCGTCGTTTGCACTTGGAAGATGTATATGTAGGGATCTGTCTTGCCAAGTTGAGAATTGATCCTGTCCCCCCTCCCAATGAGTTTGTGTTCAATCACTGGCGAGTTTCTTATTCAAGCTGTAAATACAGCCACCTAATTACCTCTCATCAGTTCCAGCCTAGTGAACTGATAAAATACTGGAACCATTTACAACAAAATAAGCACAACGCTTGTGCCAACGCAGCAAAAGAAAAGGCAGGCAGGTATCGCCACCGCAAACTCCACTAGAAAAGACAACTTTTTTTTTTTCCCAAACGTGCGATCTGTAAAATATTGCTAAAAGCATGTATAGTTAAAACTGATTACATCCATAGGACAAGTTTTAGTTAAAACTCATCGCATAAAGGAATCCAAAAATATTTTTTTAATTTCTGAAGAAAGTAATTCTTAAAAATACAACACGATATAACAAAAAGGTATCCCAAACAATCTACTAAAAAATCCACATAAGGGGATTCTGTGTATTAACATGCAATAACAGGCGTGCATACATCAATGGTTCAACTCTTACGTTAGGGGCCAAGAAGGTGTATTTGCATATGTTTTCCACATAAATTTTAATTTAAGAAATGGATACAGTCAAAAGACTTTGGATTCAGTTTTTCATTTCAATATAATTAAATGTAAATAAAACATTATTGTCAATTTTAAGGAAACTTTATAATTGTGCAAAGGACAAATTTTGACCTATTCTAGGGTTCTAAAAACCATATTCCATGCAATAAGATTTAGTTGAATTATTCCATAAACATATTTATAAAGTTCAGATGTTTCATCAGTGCAGTTCTCATCTAAGTATTTACTTTTTAAAAACAACTGAGATATTCATTTTCTTTTATCAATACGCACATATACTGGGGGAATTTATTTTGACATGACGTGATAAAATGTGAAAAAAAAATCAATGTGTCTCAGGCTCACATTTTTATAAAAAAAAAAATTAAATGTTTCAAAATAGAACATCTGTTCCCTCGTTGGTGTTCAGGGCCAAGCTAGAACTTCAATGATTTACTCAATCAACCAGTTACTGCACTCTCAAGGAGCATCACCAGTTAACTTCAAGCATATCTGAAAAAATCTATCATTTTCCTCTAACTGAAGCAAAAGTGATTACTTACAGGCACAAAGAGGATGCACTGTTGAAAAAAGATAAAGGATAAAGAGTGCAGCGGCAGTTTCATTCAATACATTTTAAGATGCATGTCTGCTAAACTGCAACATATGGGAAGTTTATTTCCTGACAGCAGGTGTACACATGCCAGTACTTAATCATTTTACGGCACCTACTTCTTTCTCTGAGTGCCAAGTTTACAAACCTGCAGTTTTTAATTTGGTGGATGACAAATATTCTGCACCACTGATTAAAAACTTTCTTGGGAGGGATGGGGGAAAACTACAAATGTTTGATGAACACTTGATTCTAGGATGAACAATGTATACAATGCACTTTTATCAAGTTTTTAATAAAAAAGGTAAACAAAAAACCTTTACTGAGTGTTATGGTCCAAATGCTTCACAATTTGTATGGCTCCATTATAAATTTTAAAATCAGGAAATACTAACCCATTAATTTTAAAAAGGTGTTTTTACTTTAAACAAGTGTATAAATTTATCAATCTTGCTCAGTGAGGATGTCACTTATCCTAATTCTAATAACAATCATTTTCATCCTTGATTCTATTCTGAAGAGTTATCCACCAAAACAGAATTCTAACATGTTACAGTTCAGAACCACAGAGACTGCTTCAGTACTTATCATTTAATGCGTTGAATTCTATTTATACTCAACTTATCTCCCACTTTCAGTTCAGTTGTCTAAGTGTTCTATTCTACATAGAATAATTCTGAATGTTGAGCTAAATAACCCCCCAGCTCTTGGTAAGGTCTGTTTTTCACTTAATTTATTCTGTATGGTTATAAAAAGACTAAAATTACTAAATACCAAAATTACTAAAGAAAGGTCACACATAAAAGGATAATACCAAATTACGTAAGTGTGATGAAAGACAAAAGGAATCCTTCCCTCAGTATAATCCTCTCCTTAATACTTCAGAAGTTTTATTTCTTAAAAGTATATGTATATGCATGTATGCATCCACAGGTATGTACTCAGATACAATCCAAACACTATGTGTACAAATTATTATTACAGTGCAGTATCTTTAAGAGATAGTATTTTCCTTCCAGAAAAATTCAAGTCTAAAAAAGATGACTTGGAATCTCATGACACTCCAAGTTCTCAAAGAGCACTGAATCAAATAACAAGTGTTTTAGTACTGCTGAAAATCTTTATTTTAAAATAAGTATTCTGCTATTAATTTATTTTTGACCTTCCATTCTGAATATGCAAGCTGACTTCAGCAAAATATGATTTTCAAATTCATATTATATTTAAAAATACAGTATTTAAACATCTCACCAAATATTAATTGTGCCTTATTCATGCCCAGTACTATGTAATTTTTACTATGCATGAAAATATAATTTTAAATGACAGCACTTGCATTTGGTCAAAGAAAAAAATTACAGGAAGGAACAACCATGTAATCTTTATGCTCGAAGTGTTACGAGATATTGTGGAAGATAAAAATACCAAAACTTTCAATACTTACTAGTTTATTTTGATCAAGATTATATAGGTGATGAAATTCTAATTCAAGCAAAAAAATTTTCTTTCTCCTCTGATTATACAGTATAATCACAAAAAATCAACTGGAGTCTTATTAATATCTATTACCAAAACCCCTATAAAAATAATACCAACACAGCAGCAGGAACTATTTACTGACTGAGAGTACGCTGTGTGCCTGGTACCGTGTTAAAGCACTTTACACACATATCTCGTATAATCCTTATAAGTAACACTAAGAGATAAGAAAGACTGGTACAAGAGGTTAAATACCTAAGATCACACAGCTAGTAAAACAGCAGGGTTCCACTGCAAAGACTCTTAACCATTATGCTATTCTGCTACATACTTCACATATGACTCCTGCTAGTGGGTCTAAAAAGCTAAGCAAAAACGGCCTGTCCTCTCTTCTATTCCATGCTTATTCTTCACCTTTTGCTAGGATCTCCAGGCATCACAACTGTTTTCTCACACTGGAGGGACGCCTGATGTCAGGTGCAAATAAAGAGAAGCAGAAGGAGAGGAAATCTGATCCCTCAGTTATTTTTTCTTCTCCTTTTCAGTTGCTGATGTCTGGGGGCCAGAAACTCAGAAAAGCTAAGAATTACTGCTTATCTCTTGCTCCTTTGGGCACTGAGACACATCTGTAAACAACAGGCAGGTGGCACTTAGAAATTATGTAAAAGGTGCTTCTTTTGAAGTACAATTTGATCATTGTTAGTAGTCAAAAGTAGCACCGCATTTACTCACTCTACTGGTTAGTCGCCTACTGTTTGGTGATGAGGTGGTAAAACTGATTTATCCAACTGGTTCAGGTTTGTTTTCAGTTTTTACTGCTTAACTACAAAATTTGACTATTAAATTAACACAGATTTAAGAAGCCAAAAAAAAAAATCTCTACCATACCTATATTCTAACACACCTCACAGAGTATCAGTGTATCGCTTAACATGACTCTCGGAAGACGGGTAATGTGCATCAAATACTAACGGGGGCCATTCTAAGTTTCGGCCAGGAACCTGTTGCTGCGCACTCCATCAGCACACACACACACGCCCTCCCCCAAGCACGATATAACTCTACACCTTACTACTTTCAAGATCCGATTTGCCAGAGAAGGAAGAAAAACGTTTCTGTATTTGCAGGAAGTGTTTCCCCTTCCTCCACCAGCAAATGTCTGAGCTAAAGGACAACTAGAGTGAAAGCAACTGCCTCCATCTGTTTATTAATCTAATTATTTCAACTTCTCACTGAAGCCTATAGATTCTCAGTCTGAATTTCACTTGAGAAAGTATCCTAAACGTTGAAAAATGAAAATAAATCAACGGCATCACAAAAAATAAATGTTAAGTAACAGAAAGCTATAACATTATATGCAAAATCTTAAATTCATGCTTGTATATGTTTTTAATTAAATGTTTAAAAGATACTAATTTATACAATAAAACTAATAAGGGTTGTTTGCTTCACTGTCATACCTAAAATGCTAGTAAAAACATATATTTGAATATAGATAATAGAATTAGCATGAGATTCTGATGGCAATGAGAATTTTCTAACATACTGGCAGATTTCCTTTGGGGAGCTACTCCACCCTCAAATAAGAAAGTTCTAGGAAAACTTTCAATCAAGACACCCTGCCTTGCACTAGCCAAGATAACCAAAGACCCTCTCTTATTGCAATCTGAATCCTGAAGGAAACAAACACACGCACACAAAGAAAATGACTGGAGCTGATTCACTTGAACTTCAGCACCCTGCAGAAACTACCCACTGATTCTTGTTCTCTAGATCCCAGAGGTGCTACGGTTCCTGTCCCTTCTACCACTTGATTCTTTAATTTTTTGAACTCACCTATAATATTCTGATACTTTTTTTTTTTGGTTTCAGTTAGTCAGAGTCAATTTTTAACCAAAGAATGCTAAGTGACAGAAAACCTACCACTAGCAAATGCTGCAGTGATAAAGTCGTTCCTAGGTTCTATGATGACTTCAGAATGCTCTATAACACCATGCCCTCTGTGTGCTTTGCCACCTGAACAAGTCAGGAGAGTAAAGGGATCCAAGAACAACTTTCTGTTAAAGAAAACAGGCTGAAAATTTTAGAGCTGTTCATAATCCATATTCATGGCCAGGCCTCACAAGAAAACAAAGTAGTTTTTGTGCATATAACATAATATAGCAAGAGCATGTTGCTATAGATACCTTATTACTGAAGAGGGATCAGGGAAACAGGCTTGGGAGCTGTGTTTCTACAGTCACACCACCGTGGGGGAGAGGCAACGTGTCTCCCAAGTAACCACCAACACGGAAGTAACCATCAGCACAGCTGCCTGAGCCCCCTGCACTGTAAAATGCTGTCTAAGCTTAGAAATGAATGAACAGAGAAGCCTGACCATACCTTCACATCTGCTGTTTAAAACTATTCCTTTATCAGAGATCTTTTCGTCTCCTGATAAGGCTAAAGAAAAAAAAAAAAAAAAAAAAAGCTACAACCTTCTTCCTGGTAGATTTATGTAAAGGAGGGAAGAGAATGAATGACTCCTCTACACTGAAAAGAGAAAGCTAATAACTGGGCCAAAAAGACAAGTAAAGTTAATTTTTACAAAAATAAAATGAATTTCTTAATCAAAGTTCATAAGCATAACCCCAAATTTAAAGTATTTGTATGTCTGAGTGTCTTTAAGTACACACATTTAACAGTACATTTAAATCCAGTTATCTTCTCTCATCTCCAAATTTTAAAACTTTTAAAATAACATTTCCTGTCTGAGTGAATGGCTATATCCAGTCAGTGGCCACACGAAAATATCCAGAGTCATCCTCACCACTTCCTTCTCTTACTATCACCCGTATCACTCTATCCCCAAAACCTGGATTCACAGTGGAATCCACCCACTTTTCTTCATCTTACCGCTCTAGTAGTTCAAGTGAGCAAAACTTTTACAACTGGTTTCTTCACAGTCACCCAATCTGCTTCCCATATACTACTGCCAGAATGATACTTTCAAAACCACAAAACTATTCACATCATCCCAATGCTTCAATGGATTCCCAATGTTCTTAGGATAAATATCAAAATCCCTGAAATCCTTGGATAGCAGCAGGGCCCATGAATGACTCTCTTCCTTGCTAAAGTTAATTTCTCTACCCAATCTTTTGATCTTACTGCTGCCTTTTACTTCACTCCATAATGTATCCTCTCTTCCTCAAAGCAATCAACAAACAAAAAGTCCTAGATTAGAAACAGTGAACTAAAATTTGACTCAATAAAAGAGCCTCACCTTTTTTGTTGGCAGCATTTTCATCTTATTTGAAATGAAACTTATTTTTAAGGCGTCAAAATCAATTTTTCTCTATAGTGAAAAACTGATTTTGAAGCCTTAAAAATAAGTAAGACTCAACCACTGGCTTATATATGGGCTCACCCACACTGCAAATAAAGCAACATATAAGTAAATATATGTTGACAAAAAGAAAGTACAAGTATTCTGGAAATAATTACTATAATCAGTTCCACAAATGTGAAGGTCCCTCACATGACAGTGCATTTCTAAGCAGGGACCATGATGCTGAAGAAGATCAAGAAGTGTTAACTTTCCTCAATAGAAATTCAATGCAGATGAAATCCCTAGGATCACTTCCCAAACAGACCAGTTTACCATGCTATGTTCCAGAACTCTAACACTAGGTTAATAGAAATTCTTGAGTCCAGTCCTCCTTAGCGTTGAAGAAACATCCAAAAGGCCACTCACTTGATAAATATTTACTGAGAGCCTAGGCATTAATACATGAGCTGTAGATACAATGATAAACAAAAACAATCATTAAGTTGCTGCCATAATACTCCTTTGACAGAG